GCTAAACGTTCTATGAAGCCCCTTGTGACAAAGAATTATTGGATCCAAAATGTAACTGTGAGGCAGAGAAACATGAAGAATGATCAGATTTACCTGTCACCATGATCCTTATTTGCTGACGTGAGCTGTCTCCCTCTTCTCTGCTGAGAAGTTCAGAAGCAAAGGCCATCCTGAAAGCCTGGGAAGAAAGGGCCAGCCGAGAAGAATGGCATCATTTCTTTTATTCAAATTTTATTGGAAGTTTACAAATGTATTACAGACACCAGTAAAACATCATATCCATTGTACAGGGCACAGATCTCAAGCAAAATGTTGACAGCAGTCTCTGGCAGAGCCCACCCCAAGGCCGGTGGCAGACCTTCCTATCAGACAAGCCTGACTCTCGATACACAACATTGACTCTGGCCTGTACCACTTCCTGGGCCCTCTGAGGTCTTGTGGATGAAATGAAAGCAGGGAGATGGTCAAGCAACCCTGTGAAGGGAAAGATGTGCTCAGGAGAGAGGAACATGGCAGAGGTCAAAATTTGCCAAAAAGATGGCAGACACATATGCCTTAAATGTTACCAGATTCATGAGCAAATCTAAATGCTCTTCAGGAAAATATGAAATAAACTAGAGAGTTGTGAGAAGACTGTACTGGTGAACGGTTCGTTGTAAAATATCTTGAAAAGCTTGGTCAACAAACTATTGAAAACAGGGATGGCCCAACATCCAGTAGGGTCAAGGGATGGATCAGGCAATTCTCGGGCTAGGACAAGACATTTTCCCCTTCATTTTAAGAATCTGTGGTATCTAATCAGAGAATTCTTTTCCTAACACTGCACGACTTTCCCCTTCTCCTTTTCATTCCCTCTGGGGAAAGCTAGTTTTGTCAGCAGGAAGAGAGCTTATGAAATAATACGGCTCCTAGCCGTGAGTCAGGTTTTATGGGAGTCTTGTGTTGACTGGGCCTCTAGGAGAACATGGGAAAGGAATCCAACCCTCTCTTGTTCTTGACCTTGATGGCTGCTTCCAAATGACCAATCAAGTGCTGCTATGTGTTGAGGCTGCAGAGGGACAGAGCTCCGTTCTCATCCTGTTCTCTTGCACTTAAAAGAACCTCAAAAGGCAGCACTCTGAACGTGCCCTCAAACACCAGCAGAGTGGGCCCGCCTGGTGAGTTCTGCCTATGAAATGATGAACACAGGGCCCATTTCAAGTCCCTTGAAAGCCCCAGAAGGTGCTGAGCAGTTGCTCATAGAAATCCTTCTAGCGTGACTTATTCAGGTAACTGGTTCAATTTCACATTTTTTTTGTCATTAATGAATCTTCCTTCTTGGGCATTTACACCTGGCTTCTGTTAGGCAGAAGCATAGGTCTGGCACTTCTCCTTGGAATTTAGTGATTTCTTGTTAGAAGGCGAGAATAGGAACTGTTATTTGACCTCTGTAAAAGGATGTACGCTAGGCTGTCTAGAAGAAGGGACAAAGAACATAAGCTGGGGAAAGGAGGCCAAAGAGTCTTGTCTTCATCTGGTCTAAAGATAGCACCTTCCTTTGCACCCACAGTGAATCATACTTCCTAAAGTGTCCGGATACTGTTTCTGGTCAATGGCGAGAGAGCCTAGAGAAATAGGAATTAGTTTGCTCTGTGACTGATCAATTGCTCCTGGCTTGTTGAAGAATTGCCAAGATCAACTTGATGGCAATGATTGTTATGGAAGGGGCAGGGGTGGGAATCCTACTTGAAAGTGCAGGTGATGCAGTGGTTAAGTGCTCTGCTGGAAATGAAAAAGAGGACTCATCACTGCCCCTCAGGAAGGAGGCATGGTGATCTGATTAGATAAAGAGTTAGGAAACCCTACAGGGCACTTTTATTCTCTGCGATAGGGTCTCTGAGGCAGAAATTTTTATTTTTGGGGGATGTCTTATGTGAAGTGAAAAATGATTAGGAACACCCACACAGCAGAAAGCTGTTACAAGAGGGGGGGGGAAAGTAACTTTGTTATGGTGCATGAGATCTTAAGGAAGGAGGAATCCTCACCCTAAGAGTTCCTCCAGAGCTCATATCAGAGCCCCAGAGGGGACGTTTCCTCAGCTGGGGGTGGAAAGGAAGGAGAAAAGAGGAATGTTGAGAGGAGTCAACAAAAGATGATTAGCAACACCCCTCCCCTGACCCTGAACTTTGGATACAGGAAAAAAAAAAAAAGTAATCCCTAGGTGGCACATATGTTTTATACTGTACTATTAATCCAAAGGTTGATGGTTCAAACCCATTCAGAAGTGCACTGGAAGAAAGGCCTGACAATCTGTTGCTGACAATTCAACCACTGAAAATCTCACAGTTCTCTGACACACGCACAGTTGCCTCAGCGTGGCAGCTGACTGAGGCCACCAGCAACCAGGAGCCTCTAGCAGCTTTCCTCTACCTGTGTTCTGAAGTGCCTGGCTGGGGTGGGGTGGGTGGGGAGAAATCTGCAAAGGCCGTGAAGATGGAGGGAATCTTGCTTGCAAATCATTTCATCTGGAAGGCTGAATCTCAAGTTCTGACCATTTTGGTCCCCTGGATTCAACCTGGACAGCTAGACAGGAAATTGTTCTTGGTCCCTTAGGGTACTGGCTATGTGGCAGTTTCCAGACCACTTGCTTCTCTCTACTGAGAGTGGCTGAAGCCTCATTTGGGATATGGAAGAGGTACTCTGAAAAGCACAGACGTGGAAAGTCACTTTTACCAGGAGAATTTTTCATTGGATTTGGGGCCACAGAGGACAGACATATTTCCAGCTGTTTGCCAAGCAATCCACTTGTTTTGTGTTTTGTTTTTTTTATAATCTTTTTCCTTTTGTTTCTTTTCTCAAAAATGCCCTTTTATTTTCATCAATCCCAAAACTTCAAATTGGGTTTGCTCGACTTCTACCAGAAACCTGCCACTTTAGAAGTGGGCGTTACATGTTAGTTCTTAATCGGTCTGCCAAGCAGTTTACAAACTTACTATACAAACATAATAGTTAATTCTCCGGAGGCTCGGAAAATTAATGAAGCATTTAGATATGAAGATAGCATGCGGAAAACAGCCACAACTGACATTTGCACTGCTTTTATTTAAAAAAAAATCAATGGCAATGACAAATGTCATATTAATACCTGAAAAGCAAATTATTTTTAATACATCCTGAATAGAGTGCCATTTTCATGTCTTTTACAGCCTTCCTTTCCCCAGACCCACTTGGGATGGTGTCTGAAAAGTCACTTTTCACATTCTCTCCATAAGAAAATACTAGAATATGATAACTACTATACTGAAAGAGGTCACGCTCACCTCACCATGGCAGATGGCCACTGAGATAAACCGTGCACTACACAGACGGAACATCTCACTAAAAGTGGGTCCTTATAGATTACTTCACCTGCCACAGGAATTAAGGGGAGAGGAGGATGGGAGAGAAAAAACAAGTGCTTCACCGGAAATGGAAGCAAGGTAGGAAGTGTTATTTTACTATAAACAGCACAACCGTTAAGTGTCTTCTTTAAGCAAACTCACTTTTGAGCCCATTTGCTGTCTGATCAACAGTCTTCAACTTCCAAATATAAATCCTCCCCTGAACATAGCCAGTTTTTCAAAGTCATGACCTTGAAATCTTCTGAGATTTCTACCTTGCCGAGAACCCAGAGTCTTTCAAATGGGATTCTTTCTACTGGCACTGGCTAGGGCGGGGGAGGGGGCTCATCGAGGTGGCTGCCACTACTCCTCTATCTCATTCCTAAAAGTTCTTGACTTTGACCTTCCTTCTTATTCCCCTTAGCTCTGCCCCTTGACTCCTTTCAGTTCAAAATTGCACGGCACCTTCCTTTCCCATCCATGACATGCAATCTGGAAAACACTGTTGCTCTGAGAGACCCCTCCCCTCAGGACCTTCCTGCCTTTCAGCTCCAAATGCTTAAGTTCATTTGCTTTGAGGACAACTGGTTGCCAGGCTAAGGCAGTGGTTCTGTCTGCCTTGTAAAAGGAAAGCAGATAATACAATCCAGGAAACATGAGCACCAGAAAATAATGCCACATTCAAAACAATGTCATGCTGACATCACACAACAGCACCACTCACAGTCACTGTAATTTCCCCAAGGGATAGATCAACAGTAAGAAACTTCAATGTCCCCGGCAGGGATGGCATTTCTCACGGAACTTGACTGACACTGGTTAATTTCTCTACTTGGCAAAAGGTACGTTGGCATGGAAAACCAGAGACGAAGATGACTATTACTCTGTAGAGAGGAAATCTTACTGAGGGTGGAGCAGTCTAAGGATAGCTCCTTATGAGGAGAGAAACAGAAAAAGCTTTGGGTGTAGGAGTTCATTTTCCCCCTAGCCACAAAATGCCAAATTGAATATGCTCCTTTGAAAAAGGCCTAACTGACGTGTAACAAATTTGTATAGGAAAAAAAAAAAACAAACCCCCAAAAACCAATAACCCCAGGTGGTTCTGGCCCACCTTTGACTACTACTCGAAGACAAGGCCAAACGTGCATGCAAGTCCCCACAGAGTCCTACGATATAGAAATTCCTTTGATATTACAAAATACAAAAATATTTTATCAGAACTCTCATTTACATTGCATTTACAATGAACATGTAAATAACTTAGTCTCGGGTCCTGGCTAATAAACAAATTATTTAATGGAAAGAAGAAGAAAAAAAAAAAAGGAGAGGGCTCCTAAAAGTGAGAGAACCGAAGAATCCAAGTGGACAGAAAACAACAGGCCATCTCGCAATGGCCACTCTGCACAGAACCTGCGGGCGGTGGCCCCGGCCCGAGAGAGTCTAAAGTGTTTTTTCCAAAGTGAAATGTGCAAATAATATTCAACATGCCTAGAACCATGATCTGTAACCGGCAATGTGTAACCTCACCTCTTCCTCGCGTTACCCCCCCCCAACCCCCAGCATTGGACATTGCAAACAGTGCAAGTTTCCGGGTTTACATTCTGAGCTCCCCACGCCCCTCACGCCCCCACACCAGTGCTATTAGGAGATGATGCAGTTCTTGCTCTTCTGTCTCTTCCGGCTGTGCAGCTGTCCCCGGCCTCCTATCGTGGAGGACTTGGGGAGGCCGTAGTTGCTGTATTTGTGCAGCAGCTCGTCGCTGGTCACGTAGCGCAGGCGCGCAGGCTGCGGGATCGGTTCCCCTAGGAAGTAGCCCTCGTTGTCGGACTCCGAGGAGGAAGAGCAGGTGGAACACCAGTCGTACTCAGCGAAGTAGGGTCCCCACCGCTCCCCAAAGGCGTTCTGCAGGGCCAGCTCCGACACAGTCCTCGGGCACTGGCCGTACAGGTCCCTCCGGGACCCCTGGCCCAGGCTCTCCTGGAAGCTCCGCTGGCGCACGAACTGGTCATAGTCCTCCCTGGCTCTCAGAGGCGGCCTCTCTTTCAATCGAGAGAGGGCCTCGCGCTCGCTGGCCAGGTGCAGGGCATTGTCCGAGCGCGAGCGCCGTGAGCGCCGGGAGCGGTGGGGCCTGAAGCGGCGCCCCTCGTCGCGAGAGGTGGCTCTCCTGCGCGTGCGCTCGCTCATGGGCTGCGCCCTGGCGCCCTCGGGCCCGGCCAGCTTGCCGCCCGCCAGGCCTTCGAAATCGAAGCTCTGGTGCATCCTGCCGTGGGCCTGCAGGTCCCGGTAGCCGAGGGGGCTGCCGAGCTGGTGGAGGTTGCCCTCCATCTCCTGGTACTGCTGCGCCGACAGCAGGCTGCGCACTGACTCCGCGCTCCGGAACTGCATGGAGGAGTTAAGGGTGCCCATGTTGCTCAGCTTCTCCGAGACGTTCATGCCGGAGTCTTTGCTGAGGTCAGGCATGGAGAATCGGGACAGGTGCTCCTGGCGTTTGGCGCCACCGTCAGCGGAGAGGCCTGCGGGAGAGAGGAGAGGATCACAGAGTCAGCACAAATGGGCCTCGCTGGCAGTCCCTGTCAACACCAACATCATCTATCCAGTGTGGCTGCACTCAGCCACAGGCTGGCTGCAAAAGGTGCTCTGGGGGTGGGTGGGCTGTACTGGGAACACCAGGGCTCTCAAGGACACTGAAGGACAGTGTCCACCTAGACGGGACCCTTGCCAAAAGTACAATCAGATTAAGGGAGAGGTGTTTTATATTTTCAGATTCCTTCAGTGGCTCATGAAGTCACCAAGAATTCCATTCAATACAGAATGCCTGTTTGCTCTTACTAGAATTAGACTTCACAGAGTGATTCATCTGCCACGCTGGACAACTTTATAAGGCCAGATCAGGCGTAAGGAATGGCTGGCAATCCTGAGCTTAGAGTCTTCTCATTAGCTGCCATCAGATATTCTCTCAACTCCTAGTGGTCCCCAAAAGACACAGCAAAACATTGCCTGTCCCTGGGTCCTCTTCAGTGTTAGTCCACTTGAATCACTTGTGACCTCTATGTACTTGAGTACCTTCCACCTATGGGGCTTATTTGATCCAACAATATTCTGTTGTGACCCAAGGATTTTTAATGACTGATTTCTGGAGCACCCCATGTCTTCCTAGTCTTAGTTTGGAAGTTCTGCTGAAAGCTGTCCCCCTGGTATTTGAAACACCAGTAGACAGCTTGCAGCATTACACAAACCAACACAGAACAAGAAACTAACCACTGGTGGGGGATCCTGGACCCTTTCACGTCTCTTCAGGCTCCTGCTGGCTGCTGTCCCCAAGCAGTTGGTACCTGCTTATCATCAATGACTTGGTCTCTAACTGATTCTCTAGAACTAATTCAGGCCTCTTAGAGGGTTATTTAGTTCTCAAGTTGCCAAGTGAACCACTGCCTCAGGGTTCTAAATGGGTCCCCAGCATCCCAGAGATGAGAATGGGGGCCTCGGGCATTCCTGCCTTCTCCTGGGGAGGCATTTTTTAAAAATACAGCAGCATCTCTGGCAGTAGGCCTAAATTGCCCAAAACAGGGAAATGGGCTCCTGGTATCGGAGATGAACCATTCTGAAAGTAACGGAGGTGTTGATTTTTTTCTAGTAACTTGGATTTTAAAGCAGCACTCTTACATAGCAGCAAAGTCTGAATGCCTACTCCTTACATGTTAAAAGGATTAGCAATTTTGCCATTTCTGGTTGCAAACAACACACCTCTGCAAGGTCCCTGGCAACCTATGGCTTTTCCCCACTCACCAAAGCAGAGCAGTACTATTGAGCACTCTGGGAAAACATTTAGAATCACTGGCAGAAGCTCAGTACTACATATACACATAGATAGATAGATAATGTGGCTGTGGAGCCCATGCCCTGGTGACGCAGCCATTAAGCACTAGGCTACTGACAAAAGGCTGGTGGGTATAGCTGTCGACCTTTTAGTTCAGCTGCATTTTTTTTAATTAGAATTTTAACCAAAGTTTACAGAAAGTTTGGGTTTTCATCTGCTCATTGTTGCATTCTCCTCCATCCCTCTCTCCCTGCCTCCTCTCCCCTAGTCTACTCTGCAAGGCATGCTTTGTTCCAGATTGTTGTTAAACATACAATTCCTCATCATACGTCCCTTTCATATAGTTCTTCCCTCATCTGTTCCAATGCAGTGTTCATTATCTATCCACACTTTTCCTTAGGAAAGGAATTCAATACAAAACATTTGTGCCACATAGGGACCTACATAGAAAGTTCACTGAGGAGTACTTTTAGGATTTGTGTGCTTTGCTCTATGGAAGTTATACCTGAATAATACATTCTAAAAATAACATAAAACCCATTAAGGAGTCACATCTAAACAATGGATATGCCTTCGGAGAAACTATTTTGCCAGACATACTCTCTCCAGTAATGTTTAAAATTTCATTACTGGGATAATTTTCAGGGCAAGAGGAATTGCCTCCTCCAAATGCTTTCCCTGCTGCTTATCTCTGACACCCACATCACAAAAGCTGATTTACAACAGCCTAATCACTTCCAGAGCCTCCCTGTCTGAAGGCAGAGAGGGAGGGAGAGAGAGAAAAGACATCAACCCCAGATGATAAATGAGCAGCAAGAGTGGATGAACTCTAGTAAGACAGAGGGAGGGAAAACCAATCTTTAAAATCGCATCTAAGGACAAAAGTCATCCAGGCAGGCCCCATGATCTCTGTAGGTCTTTTTGCTAAAACCTGGAAATAGAATTATTGTTGTTATTTGCTGTCAAATCAGAACTGACTCATAACTGACGCTCTAGCAGGGTTTCTTTCAGAGGCAGTAAGTTGCATGGGAGGAGATTGCCATTGCCCATCCTCCTCCCATGGAGCACCTAGTGGATTTGAACCGAATGCCTTTGAGATTGCAGTGCAACTCTCTTAACCACTAGGCCACCAGAGCTCCCGGAGATGAAACTGGACTCAGTATAAAGAACCTGGTGGCACAGTCTCAAGCTTCTAATCAAATGGCTGGCAGTTCAAAACCACCAGTGCAGAATTGCTATGAGTTGGAAGAGACTCAACAAACACTGGATTGGGTTTGGTTCTTACGTAATCATTTAACCGCTTTACTACTTGTCACAGAATTGACTGACTCTGGATACCCCCTCTTGTCGATCACAGGGCTTTCAGTGGCTGACTTTTTGGAAGGAGACTGCCAGGCCGTTTCGGGGCCTCTCTGGGTACATGTAAATCCTCCAACCTTTTGGTTTAGTAGCAGAGAGTGTACCACCAGGGAGTTAGTGCAGAAATCTAGTAAATATAAATCCCCAAACACTTTTATTTCTTCCGGAATAATTTTTAAAAATAAGTGCCAAAATGAAACCCTTCCGAGAACATCCTGAATATGGGCAGAGCCACGTGCCAGTGAGCAGGCAAATGTAAAAGAAGAGCAGGGTCCTTTCCAAAAGGAAGTCCAATGGCAAGATCAGGAGAGTCCTGTGGTTCAAGTCAGAAGTTCCCCATCATTTTTACCTGAACAGAAGCTGCTCCCTGGGCAAGATGTGTGGGTTGCCATTGGAAATGCTACCCGCTCACTCTAGAGAGTAACTTTTCTATTATGTTCTTATTTACTTGGATTTCTCTCCAGGGTCGTCTTGCACACAGGACATGAACTGAGAGGCCCATGTTGTCCACAGGTGAGCACGAGTTATGCTCTTGCCTCTAAAAGGGGTGGTTCTGTGGTTAACCTGATTATTGGCGAGATCCAGATCCTCCTGCAGACCTCAGGGTCCCACGTGACCTGGCTGCTCCTCACCCCCTGAGATCCTCCCCAAGCACTCCTCCTGCTCGCTCTGCTTCAGCCACATGACAGTCGTCTTCCTCCTCAGACATACCAGTGAGCTCATTCCAGACCTTCTTGGAAAACTCGCCCCTCTGTATGGCTGACTTCTGACCATAAGGCCCTTGACAGGGAATGCTACCCCTTAGGACTGTGCCTTCCTGAACATCCCTTGCAGTCAAGTGGTCTTTGCTTAAGTGCTAAAATACCATGCATGCCGCCCAGCAGAAATCTCTGTTGAGTATTGATCTGATTCTGTAATCCTATGGCCAATAACCAATTCACAGAAACCCCCATGCTGTCGATTGGAGGACTGGAGGAGGAGTTTCATCCACCTTGCTGGCAAAGTTCCTTCATTATGCACAAATAGCATTAACATCTTAACAGCAAAGTAGTCCCTGAAAACAAAGTTAGTGGTCTGCATGTCTTTATCCAGTTCTGTGTTATGAAAATACCCAGAATGTTCTGTTCTCTGATAAGGTGAGGTTGTAACCCATATCAAAAGGTTTCTTATCTAGGAAACCATATGTCTGAGTAACCCTTTTCTTTATCATTATGATGTAAATGGACCTTCCATCACCTGCATAATTCCTTCTGAAGGTGTAACCTTCAGGAGTTTAGGGGTTAGCTGGCCTGCTGCCCCCCCCCCCACTCCTTACTTACCTATCTTTTTCCTTTTTCTACAGCTGGAATAAACTACCTTTTTGACTTTTAGTAATTGGAGTGGTTACTGGTTTTCCCTCCTAAAACATCTTCCATCAACTAGTCATTCGCATGAACTTTTCTTAAAGTGCCCTACCAGGTCCACCTCGACTTAAGGACATGGTACATTCATAGCTAACGGATCCCCCTTAACATCAGCTATAAGGAGCCCTGATGGTTAATTACTCAGCTGTTAATCAGAGGTCAGTGGTTCAGACACACCAGTGGCTCCATAGGAGAGACACGTGACTGTCTGCTTCTGTAAAGATTTACAGCCTAGCAAACCCTCTGGGAAAGCTCTACTCTGTCCTACAAGGTCGCTAGGAGTAGGGATCACTCAACAGCAATGGGTGTGGAGGGTAGTAATCTACTCCCTATTCCCTACACTCTCAACAGATGTGCATAGTGTCAGGTACCCAACTAGTGCTCAATAAACATCGCCCCCCCCCCCCATTCAGTTAGTGATTGGAGTGAAAGCTTACCAAGCAAAACTGATTTTACCTTCAACTATCCACTTACATTTTCTTTTCTGACATTAAAGATAAAGCCCACAATTATCACACTCTTCCCATTTCCTCCTTATAATTCTCATTTCCATCAGTCTATATTAAGTCTATGACTAAGTTGTGCCAAGAAACCTGGAGGAGAGCCAGCTGGCCGACTGACTGTAAAAGATTGATGTTTGTTCCCATTTCAAAGAAAGGTGACCCAACAGAGTGCGGGAATTATCGAATAATATCATTAATATCACATGCAAGCAAGATTCTGCTGAAAATTATCCAAAAATGTTTGGAGCAATATGTCAACACAGAACTGCCAGATGTGCAGGCTGGATTTAGAACAGGTCATGGTACTAGGGATATTATAGCTAATGTTAGATGGATCTTGGCAGAAAGCAAAGAATAACAGAAGAATGTATATCTGTGCTTCATTGACTATGCAAAGGCTTTTGACTGTGTGGATCACAAAAAGCTATGGC